AGAAACAACTTAGAACTAAGGATTTAACAGATTTAACAGATTCAACCTAGAAATAAGGAGGAACTTTTTGACAGTGAGAACAATCAATCAATGGAACAGAAGTTGCCTTTGGAAGTTGTGGGGGCTTCATCACTTAAGACTTTTAAGAGGAGATTGGACTGCCATTTGTCTCCTGCTTGAGCATGGGGGGGATTGGACTAGATGACCCATAAGGTCCCTTCCAACTCTGTTAATCTGTTAAATCTGTTAAATCCTTAGTTCTAAGTTGTTTCTGTTCTTGATGGAAACTGATCAAGGAGATAACCAATCTGGAACTAAGGAGAAATTTCCTGACAGTTAAACAATTAATCAGTGGAATGACTTGCCTCCATAAGTTGTGGGTGGTCCAACACAGGAGGTTCTTAAGAAGATATTGGACAACCATTTGTTTGAAATAGTATAAGGTTTCCTGCCTAAGCAAGGATTTGGATTAAAAGACCTCCAAGGTCCCTTCCAAATTTGTCATTCTATTTGTACTTTCCCAATAGAGTGGCTGATGGCATCAAGAGAAAATCACACAAGAGGAACCTGAAATCTAATTGAAACCATCAGAGCCCCAAGAGGAAAGTATCTTAAATCATCCAACTTTTACAGATTTTTCTATATCTATTACAACTCCCATATCTAAACTCAGAAAAAGCAATCCATACATCCAAGTAAAACGTTGGATCTATTTTTTGGTAATGCAAAGACAGATAACATTGCATTAGTACAACATACTGCAGATGGAGTTACGAGACATATAAGCCTGTTTTTCTCAAACCAGAGTTTGTTTTGACCAGCAAGTAGTGGAGACCAACAAAGATATGGCAAAGGTCTAACCATGAGCTAGTACAATGGAGAGCCATGAACAAGCAATAAAACTGACTTGCAAGTTGGACTGTTGGGAAAACAAGAAAACAGCTGGGAGCTGTTAATTGGAGGTAAATTCTGAGAAGATTTCATACGATTCTGGATAAAACATTTTTGGCGATGTTGGAAGTGAACCAACAGGAGTGGTCTAAATGGGAATTACATGCAGGAAAGTGCAAAATAATGTTCAGATTGTTGGAGAAGTAGGCAATCCAGGAATAAAAAAGATTTTTTTAAACTGGAAAATGCAAGTGTGAAAGAAAGAGTGGCAGAACTTGGGGCTGGAGTGAAAAGGGGGATCAGTCTAGAATTGCTATGTAGCTACAAACAAAGTCCAACTTTCCTTGAGCGCTGTTACTCTTATCTAACTGTAAACTAGTACTGTTGGTTGAGAAGATTCTTGTGCATAAGCTAGCAATAAATCACTTTAATTGAATCTTCACTGTACAGGGATTATTAACCTTCAAGAGATACCCAAATAGGAAGATCTAAAATCAATTTTACTTAGTTAACCTGACCAGGATTATAAACCCACTCTTCAAATTGGGACAAAGGATATCAACATATTTTGAGCTGGAGAGAACTTTGATTTTGTTCTAGCTGACTACTGCACAAAAGCCAGTTGGAAGCAAAAAAGAGAGAGATGACTTTACTAATGACACAAATAAAAATTGTCTTACCCACTAGTGGTGACTTGAAGGAACTGCAAAATTTTGGGAAGTTCCACCAATCTCAATGCTTTTAAGAAGCGTAAACCTATAAAGAGGAGGAAATGAGGAAATAAGTGAAATTGTGTTTTTGGTTTCTGGTGATTGAAATATGGTGACAACATTTAGAAATAATGCATACCTATTTAACTAATTTCTAGGTAGTAGGTGGTATTATTATCATTTTTCAGAGAATTAGAAGCTGAACACGTTTGATATGGGATGGTTGCCATAAATATATATTTGGTCACATTTAATGTGACATTAAATACAGCACATTACAGAAAATCTGAAGATACTGAATTCCACAAATACTTGCTAAGTGGAATCAAAATGGCTCAGCCATTTTTGGTAGTTTATTAGAAGGGATCCTTCATTCACTGGACATTCACTTGACCTTAAAGGTAAAGGTAAAGATTCTCCTCACACATAGGTGTTTGTCATTCCCAGCTCTAGGGGGTGGTGCTCATCGCCATTTCAAAGCCGAAGAGCCAAGTTGTCCAATGAAATCTCCATAGTGCTAGGTTGGCAGAAGCTGGGACAAGTAACGGGAGCTCACTCAGTTACACGGCACTAGGGATTTGAACCGCCAAACTGCTTACCTTTCTGATTGACAACCTCAGCATCTTAGCCATTGAGCCCCCATGTCACCTTCACTTGCCCTTAACAAGCATCTAATTTCTCACATGTTTTAGGGGGGAAAACTATTAATGTTCTCTCTTACTCTTGGGATGTTCTAGAATTTCTTTCTAATTTCTCTTAATACAGTTTTTATTCATGCTTTACACATGGAATTGGGAGAGAATTCTGCTTCTGGTAATATTTGCATTATATCGCTCCTTTATTCGGATTCTCACTATCACCCAGCCTGAAAAAGCTCAATGGAAGAAGGTCTAATTTCCCCGGAAATTTAATGAAATGTTTTGTCTATCTGATGGCATAAAAGAAAAGCAATAATGCCCCATTCCAGATATAAGGATATCACCAGGATATTCTTTTGAAAGGAATTTCAAAAGGAAATTATGTTTTCATTGAATTACAAAAGATGCAATAGGAAAAATGCAAGATTTTTTTCTTAACAGCATTGATTAAAACCTTTCCTAAACAACCACTGATGGAATAGCATTGATAGTGTGGGAAGCCTCCACCCTCTCCTAGAGAATGAAATGTTTTGGGGAATATTAAAAGAAATAGAATCTTATATTTCCCCAAAGGAGAAATGGAGAAACATGTTCTTAGAGGCAGAAAGGCCTCCAGTCTTTCTTAATAGCCTACAGCAGATGCCTGAAATCTTTAGAGAGCTATTTTGTGTCCATTAAGAAATCCGGGGCCAGCCTATTCACAAACAAAACACCTTTCCCTCCAGGGATGGGATTAAAATTTACATTGTTCCCCCACCCAGATTTTAAGGCTAGGGTGTGATCTTTTAGGATATAATAGGATTAACCACCACCATTAGAATAGCAAAAGACACCAGGCTCACTAGATTGCACAATCCCTGCAGCATTTCAGAAACTGTATAAAAATCCTTGCACTCAAAACGCTAATTTGTCAGCTGTCCCAGAACTCTACACTGGTTCTGTTCATCAATAAAATTTCTTTCTTATGCATTGGACAAGGACCTGAGAAACAGAGATCAAAGACTCATATCTATAGACATTTTGCAAATATTTAAAGTGGCTCCAGATTGAGTGCCTTTTCAGACATCATTGTCAAAGAAAGTTCAAGAAGCACAGACAGAGACTTGACATCTGCTGTATATTCCAAGTTTTTGGTTTGTCTCTCTTTGGTTTATCACAACTCACAAAATGGTACAATTGAAATGTCCCAAAAGTAATTTTTAAGAGGCAACTGGATTTTCTTTGTTTTTCCTTGAAGACGTTTTGCTTCTCATCCAAGAAGATTCTTCGGTTCTGGAGAGAACTGAAGAAGCTTCTTCAATGAGAAGCAAAGTGTCTTCAAAAAAAAAAAAAAAAGGAAATCCAGTGGTCTTTTGAAAAAGCACCTTTGGGAAAACCATGACCTGGTTGACTGAAAATTCCATAGAAATGTACTGTGGGAAGTTATCATCCAGCCCTCTCCCAGAAAAATGAAATATCCTAGGAAATATTGAAAAGGCAGAATATTTCTCTGGATGTGAAAAGAAAGAAACATGTTTTAAAAGACAGAATAGTTGCCTGTAGCTTCCTGCCCATCTCCACTGTTAATGGGCCATTGAGAAGGCCAGGCTAGTCCGTTTTACATAATAAATACTTCTCCACTGCAGCTGCAGGGGGAAGGAATGTTGGAACTTTACTCAACTGACCACATGGCATCTGAAAACTCATCCATACCTGGATTCAAAACACAGCCTAGAGAGTAGCCCCTGCATGGCCCCATGGGAGTCTGACAACCAATCAGAATACATTTCTTACACAGGAACAGGAAACAGAGGTGGGACTGAACAGGTTATAAAAAGCCTAGCAAGCCCCTCCCTCAGCCCTTCTCTTCTTCTCCACCAACATTGAAGCATGTGATCACTTTTCTGTCCAGGGCTCAAGCCATGTGGCCCTGTCCAACAATAAACCATCTTTCCCAGCAGCCTCCATGTCTCCAGTGTCTTCTTCCCCACTTGGAGCTGAACCCAGAAGGACATTTCTTTCATCAGTACAACTGAGGTGTGTACTTACCAAGCCAATTTTTTCCTAGATAGAAGGCTATACAGACTGGAGTTATGGTGAAGAAATCCACAATGGAATTAAGCTCCAACCAGAATGCTAGCTTGTCACTGGCTGCCAAAAACTAAAACATAAACAAAACAAAAAACAAACAAACAAACACAGCACTGCACAGAGTCAGAGATAATGAAACCATTTTCACCCTATCTGGTCTTTTTGCTTCATGATGTGATCAGACTTCAGAAACGAAGAGGTGATATCAAATGAAAGCTCACAGCCTGAGAGATATAGTTATTGTTCCCCCAGACCTATTTTAAATTTAAAGTAGGAAATTAATAGTTCTATCACTGTAATAATTTGTTGAGTCTTATTTTGTACTTTGTACTTTTGTTTTTCTACATACTTCTCTAAACTAATACAATTTTGTATTCATTATAAGTCTCCTGATGGTGAGATGGACAGCAAATAAATTTAATAAATATGTAAAATAACTGTCAAAAAGTATGCTCATTTTCACAGACAGATTTATTATGGTATGCACTTTTCTACAAATTATTTTTAAAAGTATTCAGACTAGAAAAAAAAAGGAAGAATGTGAAAAGTACAGAATAATTGCATTACTATTCAGTTGGTTTAAGGAAATGAGAAGAAGGCATGTTTGTGTTACAATCCACATTGCGTTGCAAATTTAAACAAATTTCTGAACCATTCCTAGATCTCTCCCTCTTATTTTATTTTGCCCAACACTTTTAAAATATTTTTAATTGCAAATATTTCTTACCCGCAATCCAAAATGCAGAAGAAAAAATACATTAAAGAATAGATCGATCACAATTGTCTGGTCTTCAAAAGTGAGACAAAACTCTTTAACACTGTAGTAAGGGGGAAAATATTGTTTATGATTTATGAGTAATTGTTGTTTATATTAAGTCAGGACTTTCATTAATTTTTTTTGAAATCAACCCATAGCAATTCGTTAAAACAATCAGGTTGCATATTCCTCAAAGAAGTTTTAATAATCATTAAGAAAAATCAGAGCAGGAAGAGAACTGGAAATTAGAACTCAATCAAGTGTCTGATTTTGTTTGTAAGAAATCTACATGTCTTCATGAAATTCATTACTGGGAGATCAGTTTGTCTGTGATTGACTCTAAATCCAGATGTGTGGGCTCTATATACAAATACAACCACCCTCCCATGGTGTCTGGCTAGGAATCATTGCCCAGGCAGAGAAAGGAGCTGCTTCTTAATATGGTCATAGCAAAGGAAGGAGCCAGAGACTACACAAAGGAGTTACATATGTGCCCACATCTGAGACTAGAAAGATAAAAAAAAGTGAAGAGCAGCGAAAATGATTAGACAGCTAGAAGCTAAAACATACAATGAAAATAGCAGGAACTGGTTATGTCTAGTCTCGAAAAGGGAAGGATTAAAAGTGACATGATAACAGTTCTCCAATTTGAGGGGCTGACTCAAAGAAGAGAGGGACAATCTATTCTTCAAAGCACCTGAAGGCAGGACAAGAAGGAATGGATAATGTTTGATGGAAATTCATAAAGGTTATTTATACAATAATGTCATAAAAGGCATGTCATCATTTGCCTCTCTTTTCTTTTCTATGCATTCCATTGGAAATACAGATTATGCTTCTCTCTCCCCCCCTCCCCCCCCTCTCTCTCTCACACACACCCACACACCCCAAACATGTTGGCTTTTTTTTACAAAAGAGTATTCCAATGTAAAGCATTTCATATCAACATGATTTAACTGAATGATCCAAAAGCTGGCAGCATATGAGCCAAGCCATATTCACACTGTATGCTGCAGAATATCAACAAGTAGAATTTCAAATTTTATTTGACATTTTTGACAGTTTCCACATTTTGTGTTGTTGACAAATGAGGAATGACAGAATGAAATTGCCAATACTGGTTTGATTTCCATTTTGCAAAATGATGATGCTGGTTTTTTTCCCCCCCAATCAAGTAGTGGAAAAAGAAATCTCTTGTTTGAAAAATGTGGCTTATATCTTTCAAAAGTGAAAGATGTTCCAGCTGTAAGTATCAAAAAGATATGGTAGTTGTTTTCACTGCATGGTGTACTCCAGAAGCTCATGTGTATACACATCCTGAATTTAGGATACTGACCAGTTAAATGCACAACTTTAGCAGAATATGAATATTTTAATTTAATGCAAAAGTACTAGTCTAAAAAGAGAAATACAGGTAGTCATCAATTTACAACAGTTGTAGTAACCAAAGTTACAATGTCACTGAAAAAAGTGACTTATGACTGTATTTCACAGTTATGATCTTTGTAGCATTCCCATGATCATGTGATCAAAATTCAGATGCTTGACAATTGGTTCATATTTATGACCATTGCTAGGTCCCAAGGTCATGTGATCACCTTTTGCAACCTTCTGACAAGCAAAGTCAACGAGGAAGCCAGGTTTACTTAACAACCAGGTTACTAACTTACCAACTACAGTTATTCCCTTAATAATATAGGCAAAAAAGGTTGTAAAGTGAGTCAAAATTCACTTAACAAAAATTTTGGGCTCATTTGTGGTCATAAATTGAGGATTACCTATCATTGCTATTTTGATAGTGATAGTAGAGACAAATAAATTAGAGACAGGCAGTCAGAGAGACAGATCCTACAGCTATTCTTTGGGATATGAAAGAATAACATCACAGATGCTTCTGATGATGAATCTGCGTTCTTTCTTTCCAATTGAACCAAAATGGGATAAATACAAGCAAGGAATAAAATCTGCTTCTCTCAGCATTAAAATTTAAAATCTTTTCCTTTGTTTTAAAACAAAGCATTTCAGATATTTGTAATAGCATGGGGCTCTCCTTGAATGCTTTGCTCCTTTTGCAATGCTTTCTGGAATGACTGCATGTCTCTACACCACTGTATGTCAAACTATCATCGTAGTAAGTGCTGCAAAGCAGCTGCAGAACCTCTGCTGAAACCTTGCTGCTTTGAGTGTGCAGGGCATTACTGCCTACTCATTGACAAAAAAGAAATGAGCCCCTGATCCTCCATTGTCCTTAAAGATACAACAGCTTTTAGATCCAGACCTCAAGATATACCAGTCTGGTATAGTGGTTAAGGCATCAGGCTAGAAACCAGAGGACTGTGAGTTCTAGTCCCACCATAGGCACAAAGCCAACTGGGTGACTTGGGCTAAATGTAGTCCTTCTCTCTCAACCCTAAAAGGCAGACAAGGGCAAACCGCTTCTGAAAATTCTTGCCAAGAAAACTGCAGAGAATTTATTGTTGTCTACAGCAGATGGCAGTATCTGTCTAAGTTAAGCAGGATAAGTTCTGATTCATACTTTTATGAGAAACCATAAAATTTCACGGCTGTGGGCGAGATTGGAAATTAACCACACACAAATATAGCACACAATACCCTAGGAGGAGGCAACAGCAAATCAATTTTATATTCTTACAAGAAAATATGCACATGAAATAGCTAGGGGTTGAACTCAAATTTAATTTATTACATGGTAAGTTTAATGTATTTCTTTCCATTGATTTAATGACTTTTTTTAACCAAAGGAAAGAAGGAAGGAGAGAGAGATTTTTTTTAAAAAAGCAACTATATTTTGATAAAAATTAACAGACATGTGAAATATGTTTTTTTTTAACGAAATACATGTACATAGGTTAAATTACAAGGTTCTAATTACCTGTAACAGTTGATGAAGTAAAGGATGAGTGACCCAATACTAAATAGGAACACCAGTATTACCTAAAACAGAAACCTACGTATAATTAATTCACTCTTTATTTGCCAATCTAATTCAAAACCAGAGGTATCTAGGGTTTCTAGTTTTTCTAAGGGCATATTTACCATTTAAAAGAGCCTTGGTGGTGCAGTGGTTAGAATGCAGAACTGCAGGCTGCTACTTCTGACTGCCAGCTGCCAGTAGTTTGGCAATTCGATTCTCACTAGCCCAAGGTTGACTCAACCTTCCATCCTTCCAAGGTCAGTAAAATGAGGACCCGGATTGTTGGGGCAATATGCTGATTTTGTAAATGGCTTAGAGTGGGTAATAAAGCACTTTGAAGAGGTACATAAGTCTAAGAGAGCCGAGGTGGCGCAGTGGTTAGAGTGCAGTACTGCAGGCCACTTCAGCTGACTGCTATCTGCAGTTCTTCAATATTAATTGCAGTGAATCAATCAACTAAACTGGCTATCTTTAATCTTTAGTCTTTCAGATATTTCATGTGATTTTTTTTTCAGAAGGTGATGGCAATTTAAGTCCTGACAATCTTTTCCTTTTCACCTACCAACATTATCACCATTCACCTGCTTAATCAATATTTAAGTCTTTCCTCAAAATTTAACTGTTCCGTGAATAGTTTATCCTAGCTCTTTTTGTATACATCCCTACTGTTAAGTTGATTTAAGAACAAAGCAAAGTCAAATATGGTTAATTTTTTGATGGAAATTAAGGTATTGCTAAATTAGGAAATTGGAATATCCTGGGTGAAGGCAAAGACAGATTTTTGTTCTATTTTTTTAAAAAAAGTAACAACTCTCTAATATCCATATCCATGAATTTATCCAGAGTTGAATTCAATTCGAATGAGATTTGACATAATATTTCACATGTAATTATAGTAAATACATAGTCACCCTCCCTTTCATTATGTATGTGTTCATTGTTTCACCTATTCTTGATTAAATCCACAATATATAATGATTTAAAATTAATGTAGATTTCCCTGTTGCCTTTTAGCTTTTTTTTGCATTTATTTTTGTCAAATAAGGTACTTGAAGCAATAGACCTATTAAACCTGTTTTAGTAACACCAAAGCGGTAATCTTATCAGTCATTTATTTTGTCCATGACACCATTTCATTTTAAGTGGGTTACATGAAATCTTCTCTTGCAGGGTTTGGTACCACTTTTCATCCTGCATTTTTATAAATCTTGGGACACCTTTAGACTTGCTGATGCTTGTCTCCTGTGCATGGTAAATTCTATTTTAGTAACCTAAGCATTGACTAAGCATTGCCTAATCATCAAATACTGAAATAATCATGAAATCATTCTGCATTATAATTAATGAATGTTCACCTACAATATTTTAGCCACCTTTAAAAATAACTCACCAGAATACGGCCTATAGATGTCTGAGCTGAGATCATCATTACCACCCTGTCTTGAAACTTTCCTTTCCATACACTCAGCGAATTCATCTTATTGGTAAACAACTATCAAGATAAAAATAAATGTTAACATTTTACACTGCTTGTCTACATTAAAATAAGGGTATTAATTAATTGCCTTCTGTGTGCCTCTTATATGGTGCAGGGCCAAACATTTATTCTGGAATTGCTGTCAAACAGATTTATTTAGTTATTTGGCTACTGCACAACCAAAATTCAATCTCAATACTACTTCTTTTCATTGGTTATTTTAGGATTACATCAGAATATCAGAATTAGAAGGGACCTTGGAGGTCTCCTAGTCCAAACACCTGCTCAAGCAGGAAATCCTATACCAGAGGTCTTCAAACTTGGCAATTTTCAGACTTGTGGACTTCAACTCCCAGAATTCTCCAGCCAGCAGAGCAATTAAGTTGCCAAGTTTTGGGACCCCTCCCCTATACCATTTCAGACAAAATGATTGTCCAATCTCTTCATAAAAACTTCCAGTGAATTATGAACCATGAAGTATAACATCTGGAAAGGAAGGGATGGAAAGCCTCTTAAAAAGCACCCTCAACTGAAATGCCAATCTCTTATCAGGGTGTTATAGTAGAAAACAAAATCAGAAACCTATTTGCCAAAAAAAAAATAGTAAGTGTTACCAGGAAATATCCTGATCTATCATTTTATAGATTAAATCCTACTTCTTCCTAAATATGATGAAATTCAAATGGTGGTAGGGTTTGTTTTCTTCAGGAGATGGAAAGTGTGTGTGTGTGGGGGGGTTCCATAGGTAATTAGGGAATACTGTAAATAAGCAATGGATATCAAATGAATACACCAATAATAAGCAATCAACACACTGGTTCTACATCAGAATTCTCAGAAAAGCCCAAGATATTCCACTCCCTTTACATGTAACTCTCTATCTGATTTAACTTCATGAGTAAGGTGTGCAGTATTCAGATATATAATCCGAATAGTTCCCAGCCACATTTTCTTTTTATGACTTATAGAGCACACTTACCTGAAAGTGAATGGAATATTTCAAGGACCACTTATGTAATAGCGATCGGATTACTCTCACCATCAAGATCATAATGATACCTCCCACAAAAATAAAGAGACAAGATGTGATAAAGGCCAGCTGGACATAATCAGAACAGTGGCTTCTAAATTCTTTAGACCAGTCCTCGGTGAACTGAGAAGTACTTGGGTCTTCTGGTGGCTTGCGCGCCATTTTCTCCACTTCCTTTTTGTTCCTTTGGGGAATTCTAAGAAATTCTATTCCTTTGCAGAATCTTTATGATGTCACTTCCACTAAGCAAACAATGTCTGTCTGTCTGTGTGTGAGAGAGAGGTGGGGGAGGGAGAGGGAGGGAGAGAGAAAGAGAGAAACCTTATAGATCAGTGTTTCTCAACCTTGGTGACTTTAAGTCCTGTGGACGTCAACTCCCAGAATTCCCCAGCCAAGGTTGAGAAACACTGTTATAGATCCACAAATGATGGGTCCTTGGTGCTCTCTGAACTTGGCTGTTTTCTTGAAGACAGTTTCATTACCCAAACAAGGTAACATTAGTGCTAGACTGATGTTACCTAGTTGGCTAATGAAATGTCTGCAAGAAAACAACCAAGCTCAGAGAACATCAAGGGCTCCTCATTTCAACCCCGAGCTAAAAATATTCTTATCTATTAGACCCTTTATTAGAAGTATCATGCAGAAACCACAGGCTTGAATAGAAAATTAGTTTCCCTTCAGATGTTTTGTACAATATGTCACTATTCCTTTCTAATTGACAAACAGACCAAGGCTGCTTCCCTTTATATTCATCATTTACATAATTTATATCCAAGGATTATACCCAGGGATCACTTCATGAGAATTCATGGATGATAAAGAAGCAATGGATGGAAACGAAGCAAGGAGAGAACCAACTTAGAATGAAGGAGAAGTTTCCGGACAGTGAGAACAATAAACCAATGTAATGATTTGCCTCCAGAAGCTGTGGGTGCTCCAACACTAGAAATTTTTTTGAAGAGATTGGGCAGCCACTTGTTTGAAATGGTATAGGGTTTCCTGCTTGAGCAAGGCTTGGATTAGAAGACTGTTGTGACTCAGCAGACGTCTTCTGTGAGTCTTTTCAAGATGCAAGATTAACACTGCAGCTGGGGCTCGTTAGGGGCGTGTTCTGGGGATAAAAGGACAGATGGTGCCATGCCCTGGTTGCAGGAGTCAACGTTCCTTGGTTCGTTCAACATTGATTGATCATTGGTCGTGGTTTATGTAAGATACACTTGGAGAAGTGCTTTGATTTCTGTAACCCTGATTCATAGAGACACTTGGAGAAGTGCT